CTACACTATCACACATGTCGGGAGCTTAGAGCTTGTCCCAGCTGGGGCGGTGCCTGCTGGTGAATACCTGATTAGGAAAAACCCTGCAAGCCGACAGGTCGGTGTCAGATCTCGCCATACATTTTGTATTAATTATTTTTCCAAACTTCACAACTTAACGCATTATCTTATACATAAAACGCATTCTGAGATATGGAACTCCAAGAAAAAGTCCCTGCTTACCATTTGCCTTCCACCGTCCTTGGTAGGACATCCTATTGAACATTTTTAATTCGTTTTTCAACGGATAAAGAATTAAGAGTCTTTGCTGCGTGCACCGCACATTTCACGTCTAGAAGATTCGTTCGATGACCTGAGTGGGAACTCAAGTTCAACGTCGAGTCTCTAAATTGAAATGATCAGTGAGAAGCAGTGGGGCAACGTTCAGGAAAGCCAGGTCCGCAACATTGGCGGGCTCGGGTAAACGGGCGCCTAGTTTGTGGGAATATTTTTATTACTTAAGGCACTAATACTACTTGTGTTTTCTATACACACACGGCGCCAGGTAATCGTTTTGCGGGCGGGCCCACACTTATTTCGTTACGCTACTACGAAATAGTGAGAAGAGCTCTGCGTGCAACTGATAAGTGTACCACACGCCATTCTTAAAATACTCCTTATGCAAGTGATATTTTGACATTGTTCAAATTGTTCCGCTTAGACACAATCACCCACCTTAGACCAATCTTCTCAGCCCTACGTCACATAGTTTTCTGAATAAATAAACCCTCGACAGTGGCGTACCTTCAGTTGGTGTCACTCGGGGCAAAACTAATTGCATCACAAGCAACACCATAAATTAAATATAAAAATATATATTACCGATTAGTTTACATATTATTTAATAAAAATACAAGTATATTTGAACATGACATTTATTTATAATATATTGAAAAACTTTATGTAATACAAAATAATTTTTAAGTATATCATTAAAATTATATAAATCCGAATTATACATTTTTTTCATTGGTTTCAGCCCTAAAATGGTGTCTAACGCCTCCAACCTCTACTACTCACCCCCCGACAAATATTTGCGAAACTATCACTACACAAGAGGCATGCGTTTTGGTTGCCTGATTCGCGAATGACAATTCTATTAAACAAACCACTGAAGGTATTCTTCGATCTCAATAATTTTAAGCGAATTAAATATCTTCGTTCATACCAGATCTAGTGAATTAAATTTCAATCTAGAAAAAAAATTCCGTGGTGGTAGCAGATATCTTGTGGTAATCCATTGTATAGTGAAGGAAATAATCTCCACAAAACTTTTAATAATTTTAATTAATAATTTTCCAGGATTAACTTTCGGGAAAACACTTTTCCCATCCTTAGTGGATCTTGCCCAAGCAACGTGGATCTCTCATGAATGTTCACATGTCACACACTCCATTTTTGCCTCTACAAGGAATAGAAAATATGTCAAATTTTAGAAAATAAATAAGTAAACTGTATCTCCTAAACATTTTTCTATCAGTTGAATAGGTGGAGCGAAAGTTCTTCCACCGAATCGTCAAGTATTCCGAACACAAAAACGCGTGGTTATAAATTCATGTGGCCTTAATACTGTGTATTTCTGGCACTGCCCAATGCGAACGGAAGGGAACTCGCACAAGGTCACGCAAAAACTCACTTGCACAGTTGAAGGACGCTGCGACGAATAATACGCGAATACATGCTGCATACTTCCACAAGATCTGAATACTGTAATATTCCAAATGAATACTGCGAAAGTAGTAATAATACGAACTCTTTAGTTCTCTGTAATATAGTGCGCCAGGTAAGTCCCTCCACATTGAGCCGATATTGGTATCAAACAGAACGCTGGGAAACAAGTAAAGAGGATAACATTCCCAGCTTCTGTTATGAAGTGGCGAGAGCAGAAAATTTACGTTTTATTTTGCTACAAGCTGCAGCTCATGCTACCAGCAATGTTTGTTGCTACCTTTCACCAGCAAGGTGCGGGTGAGGAACGTCTTTCGTGACGAGCTGTACTACCTCTGTAGTTACTTATAATGACAATATTAAATTTATTTTTAATTTCTCGCATACTACTTACGCAGTGAAAGTCTTGTAATGCGAGGGGAAACGGCAATTTTTGGACAGATAACTCATATCATCGGACCATACTAACGAAAATGTGGTTAAATCTTGTTCCTACAAGTAGTAAATTGCTTCATCTAACACGCTATGTAGTCAAAATCCACGTTTACTGGATCCACATTACCGAAACATCTGATTATGATGAAAGTCTGTCAGTCCGTCTGAGAACAACGCTAGCGGCTAAACCGTAAGTAGGATTTTCACCAGATCAATCTAACTGATGTCGCGGCCACTTGAATTTGAAACAGCTATTTTGATTGTATATGAAGCATTTAACATGAAGCGTCAATAAAAGTTTCTCGGCATTTTTTTTCTTCCTTTTTTCGCGTATTGAGCATAAGACGCTAAAAGAATTAGCATAGGTCGCATTTTCGTTGACTTCTCTGAATTTTAGAAGCTTCTAAAAGCCATATACTTTTCCGGCGTCTTCCTAAAATTACAAAAGTGAAGATACAAATTTATTCCTTAATGAAACCAATTCATCAAAAACATACCTTGAAATGAGATAATGTTGATTTTTTCGATAACGTGAATAGTTTTGCGTGAAACTTAATCAGATCAATTTGTAAACAATTATTTTCTCAAAAACAGGTTACAAGGTTTTTTCTTGTATGTAATAAAGAATAGTGATGGAAGTGGCGTTGCCAACTCTGTATTTTGAAAATTGCAAACAACAAATTACAATTACGAAAGTACAATATTGGAAAGTGAATTTGTTAAATGTTCTAATTTTTTAAAAAGAAAAGTCGTGTACAATTTCTTGAAACTATGAGTAGTTCAGCCTAAATTTTGCCATAATCAAATCTTTAAATTCGAATTTTCTGCGCTTCGTTTTACGAGGTGTCAACGATACAATGGCAACGTCACGATAAGGTAATTTGAAATTATCACAATTCTTCTCATTGCTGATCGACATGAGACGTTAATTGATCATGAACTAAATATCAAAAAACATATTTCGTTAAGGAAAAAATCTATGTCTTCAATATTGTAGTTATAGGAAGGCGCCAAAACAGAAGGCAGTTTTACAAATTTCAAAAAATTAAGGATAATTTTGAAATTGTGTTTCGGGCTTCATGAAAAGTACACTGTGACCAAAAGTATCCGGACATGTCCAAAATGGTGTGATCGTGTTTTTCATGGAGATGGCTTACACCCCTTCTCATATTGTGTGGCACTATTACGGCACAGGTCTACGTTGATGTTTTAAACACCTTACTTCCCACTGTTAAAGAGCAATTCGGGGATGGCGATTAAATTTTTTGACACAATCGAGCAGCTGTTCATAATGCACGACCTATGGCGTAATGGTTACACGACAGTAACATCCCTGTAATGGACTGGCCTGCACAGAGTCCTGACTTGAGTCCTATTGAAAACCTTTGGGATGTTTTGGAACGCCGACTTCGTTCAAGGCTCACCTACAACGATACCTCTCATCAGTACAGGAAATACAAGAATAAGCTGCCATTCCCCAAGAAACCTTCCAGCACTGATTGAAAGTAAGCCTGCGAAAGTGGACGCTGTCAAAGCTAAGGGTGGGCCAAACACCCTCTTGAATTTCAGCAAGCGATGGAGGGCGCCACGAACTGGTAAGTCATTTTCAGACACGTGTTCGGATACTTTTTGATCACATAGTGTACCTTTAAAAATCAATATATCCTTTCAAACTCTCGCGTTCTTTCAGGTCGATAGGGGATTATCGATTTTTGCGAAAACAATTGAACTTTTTACGCGCTAGCGTTGACTATAGACGGTCAGGCAGACGTTTTGTCCTCAATCAATTTTTAGGTATCAAGGGCCCGCAAAACATGGATTTTGGATTCACCATGAGTTACAGGAAGAATTTAACTATTTATATAAACACGATTTATCAACTTCCGTTACCAAGGCTGATAATTTTTCTCTCGAAAATGCGCCGTTTTCCGACGCACGATTATAATTTTTTTTGTTACATTCGTAATGGCGAGAAAGTAAAAAGTATCGGTTTTTGAAATATAATTACAATGGAAATAAGATGGTTTCATTTTATTTTCAAGTATAAAATGAAGGAAAATACATCATCTTCCTTCTCATCCTTACCAGCAGAGAGCGCAAGCTCTACGGGCTGCCAGTTTGAAGGAAGTGAAAATCCCCCCTCCCACCAATTTTATATTTCAAATTGTATTCTCCAAGAGATCACCACCGACGCAGTGAACATTACTGGTTGTTTTCCTAAATAAAGGAGTTCGCATTGAATTGCTCCCATCCGAAAAGACCGGAAACAGCTTTTCCGTTGCGCTATGCATAAAGCTGGCTGTGCCAACTCGTCGCACTTTTCCGGGAGCAGCGATAACGTAGAGTAGGAAAAGACTAAAAAATGGAGATTACACACACCAGGATGTTGAAACACCAAGAGTGTATCTTTCCAATAAACTATTAGGCTATGTTCGCATGGACTACAATGACATAAAGAGTACGACACACGACAGCGAAAAATGATTGTGTAAAACAGGATTTTTTTACGTTCGAGCTGGCACAAACCCTCAGATATCAATTACCACGTGCGCGCAGCATAAAACAGAGAGGAGGGGACTGTTTATGGGCCCTTTTTCATTGAACTCCTTTACATTTAAAAAATCACATTTACTAGTAAATAATACAAGACAACGAAAATTAAATTATAACTTTAATATTAGTATATAATGGTCCCTAACCAGTCACACTGCTGGAGAGGCACAACCGGACAAGTTTCACAACAGCAAATGCAGCCGAGCTGTAACCTTTCTCTTAAGTATCCAATGTATTTACTAATTAAATTTGTTTAAAGGACTGTCACCCCAACTGGGACCCAAACCCTGGTTTATGCCCACTAAACGAATTTAATTACTTAATATTAGTATTAATAAATTGAACTATTAACTATTGTAATACTTTACATTTTGAACTATTTACAAGGTATTTTGAGAAACAAATTCCATAATTTACTGGTTTTGACAAAATAATTCAAATTATTGTGATTAATAATTGTTAAAATTTGTAAGATGCGCCACTTGTGCTTGAAAGAATAGTGGTCACCAATGACCTTAACTGCTTTTAAGGCCTCAAAATCCCTAATTGTCAGGTGAAAAATGGAAAATCAGAATTCACAATATTTACACGAATAAAAGTATTTTATTGCAAACAGCAATAGGACCCCTTTGAAAATGTTTAAGTCAATCCCCCACCCTCCTCCTCTGCGCTCACTTATGGCAATGACTTATTCTTTTTGAAGGCAACGTGAAAATGTAACCAACTAAGCTTAATCTGTGAATATCAGACACCTGTATTTTTTCGAATTAATACTTACAAAAACATTTGGATAAATAGGTTATTTCTTTTGCCAGGTCTTTATTTGTATCTCCATTTACTGAGACACTTGTTCAATTGTAAACACTTTTCTGTTCTTTTATGACATTGTTTCAATACACTGATGTATTTCAAGACTTGCCAATAGCCGCACTGGTTTCGAATTACTAACACGCTACCCTTTCTCAGAGAAATTGATAATAAAAACTTCTGTTGTTTCAATCTCAATATGAAAGATCATATGGTTGGATGTATATGACATGTTTTCACAACACCATATCCACATCTTTACAAATTCATTTACAAGAATTAATCTTCTCTCAACTGCACTGTTACAAGACGTAGAGATTTATTTATCAGTATATCAAAAATAGAAAGTTAAACATAGTCACTAAGAAGGAATTCACCAAATTTTTAAAACAGATAATTGTTTCGTGCTTCTTCTTCACATAAACTGAATTTCTGTTTAGGCAATGACGAATGAATTTCTTCTTTTAACAAATTTGCTTTATATCTCGAATCTTTAATTTATAATCATTCCATCACAAATCATTATTTTAACTTTCATCAAAAACATTTTTTTTTGCTTGAATTCTCCAATTCTATTAATCATTTACTAAAATGTACAAAGTCATCAAAATAATACAATACAGAGGAGAAGAAGAATAGTTAATTTGCTTAGTGCAAATTAAAAAGAAGCCTGTTTGATGGAAAAAAAACAAAAAAACACACACACTCTTACACAGTCGCAACAAAAACACTCAAAGGTTTTTTTTCCTTTTCGTTTTATGTGGAATGCATAAAAATAAATAAAATACATTTGTATAAAATTTGTTCACTGTCTATATGATGAAAACAATTCATTCAAACATTCATATCTAGTAAATCATTCACCAAGTGACACATCTGGCAATTTCTACATATATTGTACAACAATTGTCATTCAAAGTTTTAATATTTTGAGAGCAAGAGAATATCTCCAAAATATCAATCTAGCAGTATTGTCTATTATAAAACTTCTTTTATAAATATTTTGAAGAGAGGAGTTAGTCCGTAGCATTTTCTGCTGGTTGTTCTGGTTCTTTGTAGTGACGATACTCAGGTTTTAATTCCCACATGTTTTTATGTGGATTCTTCAGATTGTAATTACAAACATCTTTGAGAATTTCCTTCAAGTACACCTGTTGGATTGAAATGAATACAATGATAAAGTATTTTATACCAATAAAACAAATTTAAACATAAAACACTACACAACCTAGGTAATGAAATACAAACAGCAAGAAATGGAGAAAAGAGAATGGGAGCAAAAAGGGAAAAGAAAAATTCTAGGATAAGCAGGAAAACAAGAACATACAAACGACAAAATGATTCTGACTCGTGAAATAAATAAATTCAAAAATGAAAAGTGTCCTGCAAATTATCCTTTAAACACTCGTTTATTAGTAAAACATGTTTAGAGTAATCCAGCACTCATACACATTAAAGTATTTATTATTGTAAATCATTTGCATCGCATTGAATAGTCAGAGTAGTAGTTCTTGAAGCTAGATAACTCACTAGTACTCAGAAAGAGCATCCACACGTGTTGTATCGGACATTGGATGTCCATAGATGTGTTCTGTTTATGATAGGCAAACATGTTTTCCAAGAGCAACTACTTTTCATCACTGAGCATTATTCTGCTAGTCACTCTAAAGCACATATTTTAGTTGTACTTCATACAAAGCATTCGGACCTGGCAATGCCTAACATTTTGAACATAACGGAGCTAACTGAGTTCGTGTTCACTATAAACATCCTTGAGTATATCCACAGCATAATTACTGATTCACTTTAATAAGAAAGCACTTTACAAGCAAGACTCCAGAATTCAAACTGCGTAGTTGCAAACATGGTGAAGAAGGGTCACTACAACCTTTTACTACCCCTTTTAATTATCACACCACGATCGCAGCACAATTTGGAAATGGAGCTCTGGAAAGATACTAGGGTGAAATTGCCTCCCTTAACTTATCACGTCATGTTTGTGACGCAATTATGAACCCCTCTTCCCTTCCATCATGGATTTCCCCCTTGCCGGAGTGAAGCAAAGTGCCGGTATAAACCACTTCCTTAAGTTGAACTTTATACTAGACGTTAGCCTTACGTTCATAATGATGTAGTTTTAACTTTAAAAATTTTACTTTGGTGTGTATGATCACCTGAATTTCTATGTAGAGATGTACATGATATAGTAACTCCATTAAATGAGATCAACTTTTTTAGAGATGTACATGATATAGTAACTCCATTAAATGAGATCAACTTTTTTAGTACAAGTATAAAATAAGTATATTAGTGAGTAAGAAACTTTGAAACCATCATATTTTCAAGACAAAATGACCACAATTGCTCATATTTATAGTAAAAAACAAAATGTCACACATACAATTGGTTGTCTGGTGATCTTCACCAAATCTTTAATGTTGTAGTACTGATGTTTTTCAAATGCTGCAAAAAGCATTTCCAAAACAGCATCTTTGTCATCACGAGACTTTTTGCCTTCTGCTTTCTTAGTTTCATTGTATTCAATCTGGAAGATAATAAGTTATATTGTCACATCATTTGTATATAAACAGTATGCACTAAAATAATTGCAAATGATATTTCAAAGAAAATTGCATAAGTTTATATTTAATATAAGAAGACAGATTATGCTTACATTGTGCTTATGGTCGGAAACAGGTTTGAAATTATGTACAATTCTGTCTAGCTGCTGAACTTGCCGCACTGGCATGGATGCTTTACGAATTTCATCCATCTTCAGCTTCATGTAGCAGTTATCAGCTAAAAGAAAAGCATACACCACATAATAAATAGAAATCATGTAAAACAGTTTAAACAAAATATTATTGGTATTGACATTGGTAAATTACTTATAAATTTCATCTTTAAATCACTTTATCTTCTCTTAACATTCTTCATTTTTCTTTGTATTTGATACTAAGAATATACAAAGCTACTTTGAAAATGGAAATACAATTACAACCTCTTATAATAAGGTTTACTGTACACAAAGAAAAATTTCAATAATAGATAATTGTTTAGCACAACTGCTTTTATTTCATTATAAGTTTCACTTTTCAGTAACTAGTGAACACAAAAATCCAATTTTAATACTGCAAAAGTTGATTTTTTATATTTTAACTTCAACAATTACAACAAATGTTACGAATTCTGCTTTATCTTTTACTTGCAGATCTGGATGCAATAAAAATTATACTACCTTTCAGACACCACACATACATACCATAAGGGCGGCATTCCAACTTCTGTACAATACGCCCTTCCAAACAGAGCTTTTCTGATTCAGGAACCACAGCATCTAAATTGGCAGCTAACAAAACAGCAAACATGAGAAAAAGTTATGATTTAAAACACTACATATCAAAAAAAGAGAAGACTTACGAACTGAATGTGAGAAGACACCAAGGGTTTGATGAGTCACTGTTGAAACGTCTAACCTGTGGTCGCGAGGTATTGCCCCTTCATTAGGTTCTTTCAAAATGAGACAAGATTCACTTAGAGATAAAGAAACACGAGGTCTTTGTTCTGGTGCTCTGAAATTGAATTCAAAAAGGAGTAAATAACAATTTCAAGGCAGTGAATAATATTTCAATAGCAAATTGTAATAAAAGCTAAGAAACAAAATGAAATAAGAATCAACAATTATTGCAAGCAAGATGATCACGCATGGCCATAATTTCAAGACACAGTATTCCAGCTGATTACTTAGCACTGTTTTAAATGCTTACATGCAAATGTGCTCAAGTTTGTTGAAACATTCTCCTTTCTTAACTTCCTACTGGAGGACCTAACAAAATCACTATTTATAAGAATACAATTTTTCAAAATAACTGACTTACTAAGGTAAAAATACTTACTTGACAATTTTGAGTTTACCCACTTCTAAATTTCCTGGAGCTTTTTCCCACTTTGTAGCAATATACTTGGGAACCTGAAAGCAATCATGTAACATACAACTTCTCAAAAATACATAAAAGAAAATTAAAGAAAATTGAGAACCATTAATTTTCGGTTTTCAATTACAGCTATCTACTTTGTAACTTAGCTCACCTTTACTAACCAGACACCGCGAGCAGCATTTGCCAAATCTAGGTCTCGGTCAATATGTGGGTTTGAATTCGACATATTGGGCAAAAAAATTGTGTACAAAAACGAAAAAAAATTTCACCATTTAATAAGAGATTAAACTCCAAGCATACGCCGGTGACTCAACGTTCACCTATGTTGTCACAAACACCACCACGCACCACTATGCGACCATATTTTATTTCGATTTTCTTCTGTCGTTTTGAGACGTTACACATGTGCAACAACCTTACAGTACTTACAGTTGTCGTGCACGGAAAACTGTCGTCACAGCATTTCGGTTTGAAAGTTGCCAGCAATTATTACTGGCCCAATCAGACGGAATTAAAGGGAACAAAACGGGAGTCAGGACCAGATTGGGCCAGATCATGACATTTTAAAAGTTTAAACCAGGTTTTATTATAGCAATGTTTGCGGTGGAATCTTGGAAAAACATTAGCAATTTTCTTAATTCGTCACATTCAAGCCCATGCTCTTAAACCCACTCCCTGATTACAGCTGATTAAAAATCCCATAGGAACAATAAATTTTCTTTTTTATTTCTAGTCAACAACTAGATTTTTCAGTCTGCTTTGCAATTCCAAAACCTTCACGTAATAAAAAATGTGATTCTGACCAAAATTTTTACCGTCTACTTCCTCCTTGTTTGAAAGACACATACTTATGATCTTAAGAATCTACCATGTTCTTTGTAATAAAACTTTTTAGGAGGCATAAAAACTTTAAAAATTCTTTAATGACCTGGTCTAGCTGGCAGCTTTACTTTTCCACTTTAAAGTTTGTTCCAATTACGTAAATAAAAAATAAATTAGAATAAATTATTTAAAAAAATATTATTTTAAAAATGTCTATATCCTTAAGCATGTAAGGTTTGCTCAAAGCATTAAAAAACAATGAAAAGGTAATTATAGTGTTGCTGTTTCCTTATGAAAATGCAATCTAATTAACTTCTGCACTTTTGAAAGTGAAATAACCGTTTCTAATTGTTTTTGCTATTGTAATTTGTTGCAATAACAATGATAATAATAATAATAATAATAATAATAATAATAATAATAATAATAATAATAATAATAATAATAATAATAATGTCAAAAAAGCAATTTTAAACCTTTTTCAGCATTTGGAGGCAGGGGAATATGTATTTTCCCACTATACCCCCCATCTGTGCAGATGTTGCGAAACGAATAAAGCTATATTACAGAATAAATGAAAAATTTCTATGTTGTAAACACAAAATAAAAATAATAATTGTTTTTGAAGTAAGATATATCAAAAGAAACAAGAAGCAACTACTTAAAAAATCTAAAATACTTCTAGTATGTCTTTTAGCTTGAGTAAATCAATATATTCCTAATCGCAATCACAACAATGCTAAATATATATTGTTATTTAGGTTTCTAATATTTTTGGGTCAAGTGTAATACAGAATAGTGTCCAAATATAACCAACTATAAACATATTAACCTCTTTCTTTTCTTGGCAATAATATTAATCATTTCCCCTATAAATGGTCAAACTACAATATCCTAAAGGATGTTTTTTGGTCAATAAAATAATGCTTTAACTTCCTGATCTGATCTCTCTTCTTGTAATACAGTATATAAAAAAAAAGGGTTTCGGTATCTGAGAGGACTTCATTTGAAATTTGAGGTATGGTTGTGGAGTCTGCAAGAGTAAACATGAGATTTGCAAACTTTTAAAGTACTGTATCTACATTCATAGAAGAACATTTTGAATCTCTGTCTTCAAAATTCCTTTCACACTTGGTCCCTTTGACAGGACAAAAATTTCCTTAGAAGTTGGGTCATCATTTTTTGAAATTTAAAATATCATTTTTCCTCCACAAGATATCAAATCCCAATCAAAAAAGTTTTGTTTAGGACTAGAAAGAACAATTATTATATGAGTACAGAAAGGTTATTCCTTCAAACATTTTTAATGTTGTTTTAATCCATCAAAATATCATTAGATGGATAAAGTACACTTCTCTATTCGGAACTAAGTCCAAAAGGCCTACAAGGCAATTACTGATAGACAATACCCATGTTATTACCGTGCAAGTTTAGTGGACGTTTTTGCTGCAGGTTTGGTTTGAATGGATGTTGGGAATATCAAGAATTGGCTTGCCTCCTCATTCTTTCAAATAAGAGAAATAAAATGCCACAAATCCATGACAAAGGGTATTAATAATAATTAATAATTAATAATAATAATAATAATCAAAATAATAATAATAGTAATATAATAATAATAATAATATAATAATATATAATAATCATATATTAATCAATAAATAATAATAATAATAATAATAATAATAATTACAACAACAAACAACTCCACCTGGGGGGAGTACATGACTTTTTGGACCGGTTGGTGGTGGAGCTTAAGTACCTCAACGACCCTGAGACTATGCGGCGGGTAGCGTACTACTGGTAGGGTTTCCCTAATTCGGACAGGTCAGGGGAGGGGACAGACGAAGAGTACTCCAAAGAAGAGGACCCTCACAACACCAGAAGAAGGACTACAGAAAGAGGCAGTCTGCCTGAAGACACGAAGATGGCCTAGAAGGACCCGTCTCTCCAGGGATTGATAAAGAGAGCCGTGCCCGGGGTAACAGGGCAAAGTCTCTAACGGCCAACACTGGGCGGAAGAGCAACCCTTCATGTGGGTTAATACACAAGATGGCGGTGGAAAGGCCCATGAGAATACAGGACCCTATTCAGACCACACCACATTTTGGAAATGGAGAGATCATTGTAAATTTGCCTCGGACCATAGAGCCGCTGCCTGGGGATTCGCCAGGGCAACAGATGGAGTAGCGCCGTCTGTGACAGCATGCGAAACCGCTTCGTGGTGTGTTGTTTGAACAGGCGGACACATATCACCGGGAATACCCGAAATTACTAACGCGAAGAAAGCAGCAACTCAAATCCTTTCAGCTGCAAACCTGAGCACAGTGTTTCCCAGGACATCACTTGGGACCACTGTTGGCAGGCGCTGCCACGCGGGAGAAGTTCTAGTGGACCGAAGAAATGGAATGAAAGAACATCATCAGGTTATATTAATTCGCGTTACCCCGTTGCCGATTCATTCGTATAGGATATCGGCAGGAATTTACGTGTAAGGTGCTTGACCCAGCTAGTACCACATTATCTACCTCACTGAGCAAAATCTCGGCGGACCGAAGAGCAATTAATGCCATTAAATCTGATAAATATGTTTTCATGTACAAGAAAAATGACGATTAAAGCTGAAGTGCAACGCACAGTTAGAGCAACAAAGGGATTAACAGAAGAACCCAGTAAATACCGCGTCACACAAATTCAAACCCAGCTCGGCTCCCTCTGCACGAAGCGCCTTCAGACGAATATCCTAACTTTTCAGAGATCAACTAATATGAGAATCTCGATCACAAATATTCGCTGCAAATATTCAATATGGAGGAATGAAATCCTAATGTTAAGACAAGAGTCCGGCGAAACAACACAACTCAAAGAAACTGGCATTGCTAGTTTAAGATAGCAAACGAAACAAATTTTGGTAAGAGACCGCTCACATATCGACCCTATGACCGCCTGAATTCTGCAATATATTGTATGGCAGTGGCAATAGTGAGAGCAACATGGTGGTAAATTATGAAATTCCCCACAAGGAACTCCCAGACTACATCAGAAAGACCTCAACAAATGGAAAATTCAGATACAGAAGAGAATAGATTCGCCTCCGATCACAGACATCGGCTACACTCGAAACCTTCCAAAGAAAAAAAAAGGGAAAAGAACAGAAGTAAATATCTGAAAAACCAGAGTTAATGTC